TGTAACAAAGACAGCCAAACACGTTAGCCTTTCTTTAGGGACTCCCATATTCTGGGCAACTGTACCATATGCAAATCTTTCTGGAAAAAAAATTCTGAAGACCAAGCAAACTCAATTATACATGTTTTTACCTCATGGATGTGCAAGACCAGCTAACCAGCTTTTGGTGTTTCTGACCATGGCCATAGTCCACATTTTCCCAAAAGTGCTTTTCTCAGCTGTGGGTCATACAGCTAATTTAGACAGGCACAGGCAATTTCTGCAGCATTGTTTAAAAATCTCCTTAGCATAGACATTGATAATGCAAACAGTTGGGAAACAAATGCATAGTTTTATAGAGAAGCATCAAGGCACACCATTCTATTGGCAGAGCTGTGCAGCAATCTTTCTTTTTTTATTTAGCTTTCAGTCTTCAATTGCTTTAGATGAACCAACTGCTTCTAAATCCCCCAAAGTGGTATGTATGCAGGAACAAAGCAGTCTAAGGTACTTGCTTTATTCTAGTTTTTTAAGAAGTGTTGACAGAAATAGACAGGCAGTTACCTGAAGCCTCTGGTGAAACCAGCTTTGAATGACAAGGGATTCATGCTCAACATCACCACCATGGCATCTTTCACACTGAACAGAACTCACACATACAATTTGTCTAAAAGCTCTGACTTCAAACTTACGAAATGCAGTTACCCGATGTGGAATATACTGAAGGGCATTATATGGGTAGGTGTTGCATTTACTATACAAATACTTGGTATAAAGACCATTTTCAAACAAGCATTTCTTAAACATATTATTTCATTAGAGAACACATATATTTACACTTGTGTTCTTTGCCAGATACTTGCAAGATAAATCTACACAATAAGAGTAGCATTTAAAATTACCGATTGTGATTTAGCCATTATTGCCAGTGGCTTGCATATATATTGCAATCCAAGAGAACTAGGGAACTCAGAGAAAAAGTTACAGTGCACATAACAGAATTTTTGCAGTGCTGAGAGGACAGAACTTCTATCACAAACAGCATCTTTTTTAACCTGCAGCAACAAGCATTTTAAAACAAATGTGATATGACCTTGAATGCTTCTTGCACAGAAAACAGAAGTAGCACGAGGAACTACACAGCAACATGTGGTGCAGCTTTGAATGTGGAAAATCCTGTTGTGAATCAGAAGGGGGTTGTGTTCAGACACAGACTTCCTTAGTATTTTCACATGGATGAAAATCATGCTTTTCATGACTAATCATGAAATCTTTCTCTGTGGTTGAAATAATGAAATGTTTTTAGGTCTGAGCATTCCACAAACATCAGAACAGAACATTTTTCACAAAGTTAGGGTTGGGGTTTTCTTCATTGTTTTGAAGGACTGATGCAATGATTCTGAAACACCAGATACATTTCCACTTTACAAGATTAAGCCTGATTTATTCCTTAAAGTTAGTAAATTTTTTCCCTGAAAAAGAGAATCTGACATCACAGACCAGGGAACACAAAGGGGCAATATGCTCTGATGATTGTACCCTAGGTAATTTAACACAGAGCATAATTGTATGTGTTGGTGGGCACTATAACATGATTTCTGTTTATGCAGATTAGGCATAATAATTGGGAAAATATTTTAAATTTGTCTGTCAATTCATTTTTTACTGTGAACTTCACCTATGTAAAAATGACATTGTTCTACTCAAGACACCTTCCCCTTCCCTCTAATTGGCATCTGATCTAACTTCAGTGCTCAAAAGATGCGTTTTCTCTTCTCTATTGCAGGTCACACTGTACAATCATTTCTACATAAATTGTGATTCCAGAATCTTTATTCCTAACGCTGACAGAAAGAGCTTAGACAGCCTTTTAGATTTTGTGATGAGTTTTGCAAGGTTGTTAGCAAGTTACAAGAGACATTTTACTTGTGATCTGAGCAGATTTCATATGGAACTCATGAAAGACCATAAACCACCCACAGTTTAAAGACACCTTCAGACAGAATATTCAAATTATTTTAAGGTCCTTCTGCCAGGAAATTCTTAAGCTTCCTGAAAGGACACTTGAGTTTTTATCTTTAATGTCCATGCAGAACCTTTGTCAGGACTTTAAATAACAGTATTTTTTGCCAAATGAATATAAAGAAGGCTGAAACCTGCAGTGCACTTATCCTTCTCTTACTTGAAATGACACTTGTTATGTTAGGAGGCTACAGAATGCTCATAGCATCCATGTAAATATTTCTGGTAGCAGCCGTCCAGAGAAAAAGACAAGCTTTGTCTGTAAGACATCACATTGCATTCCAGATTGACAGTTCTGCTGGCAGAAACCTCTAGTTGAGGGAGAGACTAAAGTTAACAGAGCTGGATATGTAGTAGAGTAGAACCACAATTAGGTTTGGGTCTGTGCCACAAGTCTGGGCATTCTAGCTTCCAGATTTCCACACCAACTACCTTCCAAAGATGTTTATTCAAGAATATAGCAGCAGCAAGGCAAGCCAGCTGGCTTGAGATGCTGCATACCCAGGAGTCTCTGGCCTGGAATATCCCCTTAGCAGTACTGCTTCATAACTGAGACCTTGGGAAAACAGCCTACAAGATGGGGACCACAGAGGTGCACACTTCTTTGCAAGAGCTTTGACTCTGAGAAACCGGACCTCCTCATGGACCCACTATGACCCTCCCATCTTGCCCAGATCGTTTGTTTAAGGACAAGCAGCCTCACAGGTCTCACAGCAAGTTTGATGAAAGGTTACTGGAGTTTCGAGATCCTCACAGTGGATATGGAGTCCTGGTCCCATGTCAGAAAAAGAGCAATTTTTTCCCCAATAGACCAGGAACTGCAAACACTGAAATACCAGAGCTCAGAGTATTCTGCAAGGTAGAGATGACAATGCTGATCTCTGGTGGTCTCTGTACACATAAGCTTTTAGGAGCCTATCTGGAATTTGAGTATTTGCATCTAGGCTGTTTCTGTAAAACAGAACCAAGATGATCTAATAAAAATCTGGTTTGCTGGAAAATTTCCATCCAGCTGTATCATCCAGCTGTATTTTTGCTCCTTCCCAAAGAATTTCCTTAGAAAGGAAATTCATTCTCTCAGCTGCCCCCCCCTTTTTTTTCTCCTTAGAATAATTCAAGTTACTTCTCTCATGCCAGTTATTTTTAATGATACTATTGAGTACACTTCTTGAAGTCCACTTTACCACTATTACTGTTAAAGAACTACAGATCTGCTAGTATAGGACTAGCAAAACCAAAATACTTCCTGGCCAAAGAGCTTGCAGTGTGAATTAATTTTACCTTGCTGTCTAGCTAGGTGAGCTCTCTAAGCTCCTACAAAATTGCCGTCCCCTCTCCCTACAAGGAGACCACTGAAAAACCAGGAAATATGAACAAAATTTTAGTTTTCTTACTCCTCCCTGTGTTTTGTCATTGACACCCATGGTACCCAGAGATGACCACACAAACAGTGAAGGTCCAAAACATTCAAAATGAACGGTGCATTCTTTGTGTTCTGTGTCTGAAGGAGGACGAGACCAAGTGTGAGAGATGTGACAGCTCGTGCACGGAGTGCAAGGGACCTGGGCCTCTCAACTGCACGGTCTGTCCAGCCAGCATGCAGCTCTACCTGGCAGAAAGCCGCTGCCTGCCCTGCTGCCATGACTCTGACCTGGCAGGAACCCCAGAGTGCTGTGACTGCAACGAAACGCAAGGTAGGACCATGCTGAACAGCAGTAACAGTGCTAAAGGGTTTTATGATCAACTAGGCTGGCATTTGAAAATCAAAAGGGAAGAGAGCAAAAATGCGCTGCTGAGATGCAGGCACACAGTGTGTTTCTACCGGAATACAAAGGCCTTTACACAAATAACAGCAACTGCAATTGGTGCAGCAGACAGCATCTTTTTTCATCCACAGCTTTTGTGTTAAATAGCCAGGCATTTCATAAACCAGGTGACTAGGAAGTGCTTGCTTCAACCAACAGCCATCTGAAATAAGGAACTTCACACTCATCATGTCAAAATGTTATTTGTGTGCCTGTTTTCTGGTTCTTCTTGAATATTTCCCATCTAACACAGAAGCACTGTTATCCGAGAGACCTTGTTTATGTCCTTGTACCATCACAGCTACAGAACATAGCTGTCTACTGAAAGAGTGAGGTATTTAGTTGAATGTGTTTAAAAATGTAAGCAGGCCTAAACATTGTTCTGGGTGTTTTTAAAGACAGATATCCCCCTTTCCTGCCTCTGCAATACACACTCACAAGGCTTATTTAATCTGTTTTTCTTTTACTGCTGTTGTAGATGACTGTGTATTACGGACCACTCTACCACCTGAGAGCAAAAGCAAAACTGTTTTCTTTGTTATTACCTGTATTTTGCTTCTCCTTGTCATTGGAGCCACTGTATTCATCTGGAGAAAATCACAAGCCAAAAATCAGGCTGTCAATAAAGGCAGGTATGAGAAGCTGACAAATCACTCCAAAACCTTTCCTTCCAACTTGGGCAACTACCATGAGAGTACCAGTTACCAGGAAGATCAGGTCATTGAGTACAGAGATCGAGATAATGAAGATGATGATGATGAAGATGACATTGTATACATGGGCCAGGATGGCACAGTCTATCGCAAATTTAAATATGGACTTTTGGAGGATGACGAGGAAGATGAGCTTGAATATGATGATGAAAGTTATTCATTTAGATAACTCTTTACTAATTTTTTAATTCCCTTCTGCATTGCTTTTCCTACTAAATTATGGCATTTAGTGGAGTATGTTTAGTTACTTCTTAGCACGCTGAGCTCAAGATTTTAGCTGACAATTATTGTGAGAGCAGAAAGGTTTCTAGAAGCATTTTTTCCTAAAGCTTTACATAAATCCTTGCTAGGCTTTTAAGTAGCACTCCAGATGTAGACTGGTTAAGAGATTATGTTTCTGTGCATTTGGACTAAATAGACAGTAAGTCATTTCCCAGTATGTATTTCTGTGCATTATAACTAATACAAATTCTGCTTTAAACCATGCACTCACACTTACTGAGAACCTTGCCAATCATCTACTAGAAATGTGAAGATATAAACAAGATGAGTGCATTTATCTAACTGATGAATACCACTGGGATAGGGCAACAGTAGTTCACTACTTTGTGATTAGAGCTACTCAGCAATCCATAACAGAATAGGCAAGTTTGCTGACTTTACCCAGATTTCCTTTGTTAGCATCATCTGGTACATACGTATTCCTCAAAGCCCACACATTTCTCTTTATAATCTCATAGCATACTTCCCAGTGGAATTGTGCCTCTATGACATCTATGACTTCTGGGTTTACTGCAACAGGAAATACAATCTATGAACATGTTCACAAAAAAAGTCCTGATTTCCTCTTTTCAACTACTTTCTAGGTGATTTAAACACTGAACATTTATTAAAGCAGCTTTTCCGTTTCTGATGTAAATGGCTCACGATGTTCAGACAGTGGCAAAGGGGATAGTTAGCACATATTTGGTAACGTAACTTAAAGGAACACAGCAATGTGATTTTTTATTATTATTACAGAAATATAATTTATCATGCTAAAGAAAGGGACGCTCTTTATGACTGTGTTGTGAAAGAATAAATTCTTTGCTCAAAACTGCCTTGAAAATGCTGCTGTTTCTCAAGTTTAATTTCCTTTCAGAGTTCTTGTGAATTTCCAGTGAGAAGTTGAGCGATTACCTTTGTCCCTGCCCATTGTCTAAATTTGTGTAAGTCAGACTGGGACAAATTTGCATTTCTCAGGATGAATCAAAACAAACAAAATTCTTCTCAAACTCTAATTTTTCAGGGTGTTTTTTAATAGGTTCTTCGTTGTGGTTTGGGCACACCATTTCAACCATGTTTTCAGTTATCATCAGCTGCATTTTCTTTCACTTCTGATTCTTCCTGCTCTGCGGTCTGACACTTTCCTTCTGGCTTTCAGAGCTTGTCACATGCAGCCAAGGATCCTGGATGTCCAAAGCAAAAGGGGACTTCCTTTTGTGCTAAAATCTGCACAGGCAGAGCTGAGGCACCATTCGTTAAGAGAGAAGCGGTACTGGTAAATTCCCTCCACCCAGATATACAGTGCTTCCTGTGAGGGATTCAAATGACTGCTCAAATGATAAGCCTGTTCTTAAAAGGTGCAAACATGCATATAGTAGCATGAATGATTTTATGCTGTATGGGAAGGGTGACAATATGCATGTCTTACAAAATGGCAAATAATTGCTTGAAGGCGAATCAGTCTTCTTAGGAGAGCAGTAAATAACTGATTAAGTTAGAAGCATATGATACAAGGTTATTACTCTTTTTAAACTAGAATTTCAAAATAGTGGTCGAAGAGACCCAAACTTTCTGCACAGCCGTAACACATTTACAACATTCACAATTAAAACTCCCTGCTAAGAGTCCACAGGGAGACGAAGAAAAACAAAGTTTAACAGTTAATTGGCACAAGAGGAAATCACTAATGAACCACTCACAGTTCTAAAGAAACTCCATGGAAAGCAGAATATAACCAAGGAAGCCAAGTAATAAACCAAGTACAACCAAGTAATAAATGTACAGAGAACACAGCACAAAGAAAATACTGCTTTTCTGGATTATTTTATGGGCTTCTACTGCCTATGTCCTTTACACTGTCCTGAAAGAAAGGTAGAGAAATTCAAATCCACAGTTGTTGAGAAACTATCTCTCATTACCCTTTGAGTAGGAAAGCTCTTTCCAAAAGATGTCCTGAAAATCTACATCTACGAAGTTTTACCACCCACTTACTTCTCACTTAGTCCAGAAATCTGATTTTGAAAGGTAGGTTACCAGTGTTCTTTATCCCCTCTTTCCTCAGAGTTGATGCAAATAAGGAAAAGTTTTCTCTTCCATGACTCTACCCTGAAGTTTTGCTAGAAAGGAAGTGGACAAAAGTAGATTGTCGAATTTCAAGTGTTTTGAGGCTCCTTCCTCAACAAGCTATTATTCCCTGATCAGACTACATTTTTATAGTATACCATGTTTGCTTCTAGGTCTTGTATAACAATTGCAGGACTTCTCGCTAGCGACTCAGGCTGAAATTTCAAAACAAAGAAAGGAATGAAAATATCGTAAACTTCCTTATGTAAGTTACCAAAAAAGCTTTTCAAATGGGTATTTTGAGGCATTTAGTTTTCTCATGAAAAGTAATGTGTTTCAAGGGAAACATATACCTTTGCAATAAAAAAAAAAAAAAATATTTTTAGCAATTAAACTTCCCACTTTAAAAGTTACCTATAGAAAAATTCTGATTATCCATAGTAAGTCACTATTTTACCCAGGTCACTTATTTCATTTGAGTCCTTGCTGGGATGGGAGCAACAGAGTATGTTTCGGAGCAGACCAGAGCTATCAAGTTTTCATCTTCCCTCAACCTCAAATGTCTACGTATGGTTTCAAGCCTGAAAAGTAATCAGACATGCATCCTGATGAGGAACAGACAGATATCCTAAGGACTCAAAAGCACTTTCAGACAGAAAGACTTTAAAGAACTTTTTCCACTTTTTTTCTTAATTAATACATCTGTATGACAATAATAAGCTATCATATCAAACAACAGATGATGACTGAAAATTGTGACTGTAAACAGACATACTCCCAATAAACTAGATGCATTTATAGGTATAAGATGCAAAATCCATAGGAGACATGCACATGTCACTTCAGTTCTTCTTTCAAGGTAGTATATCCTATGTTCCTATTTTACTTTTTGTTTCCTACTGATAAGAAATAACCAGGAAGTTGCCTAAGATATATTGGCTGATTTCACAATATCTCTTGTGATTTTATTGTTAACATGACAAAAGACAATTTTTCCCTTGGAGAAGATCGATACAAAGCAGAAAGTAATTATGACTTTTTGCCCCCTTCATCCTTTTTCCAATTTAGGCTTACACTTGAGGAAGATCTCTTCTCTGGCCTTAACAAATAAAACAAATGCACTAATTATCTCCTTGCATGACTTTGTATGTTTACATTACACATTAAATTGAATAGTAATAAAAGGCTGTAAGTATTCTTTCACTTTTCCTCCTTATGTTGTCTGTTCAGCATCTAAATAAGCACTTTTTTTTTTCTTTTTTTTGTCAGGAAGAGCTCAGTTGCTCTTCTTGCTCCAGTTCTTGCCTTGTGTTCCTCCAGCCCTGCTCTCTGCATATCACATCTAAAATTCTCATCCCATTCTTTTTCTGCATCCTCTCTCCTCCTTGTCCCCTAGCACCATCTTCATTTCCCCGGTTTCTTTTTTGTGATACACGTATTCATGTTACCTAGTTACGGCATTCATGGAAACCTTTCACACACAAACCTTAGTACTATGGAAAAGCTAATCATAACTTCATAACAAACTAAAAAAATTATATACTAAGCACTTTGCTACTCTGAGCCACAAAAAAGAAAGCAATATTCATTTCTCAGTCATTACAGAAGATGAACATTTATAAAGTCAGTACCTTAAGTTATACAGTTAATTATGTATTAACTAGCATGGTCAGCAATGTTTATGAAGTTCTAGCCCCCTTAAAAACCCCAACAGGCCACAATTCTATCCAAATACCCCCCTGGAGCAACAGATAATGCAAGTTCGCCTTCTGTTTATAATTTCTCTCACTCCTTCCTTCTCTCTTTAGGAAAATGCAAGAAGCTTAGGGGGAAAAATTATAGCCCTATGCAGACCGTATCAATCACAAAATAAATTTTAAGGCAGTTCTGTAGTGTTTTCAAATCTCATTTCAATTCCAGTATGAAAACTAGTAGGACATCTTAATCTTTGGAAATTACAGTGCTTGAGTGTCAAACAGAAACCTAAAGAATATAGGTGCTTGAGGATTTAGCTTTTAAATCCACGTCTCCAGTGAGGACAGCGCGCTATTAGAACAGCAGCATGATATGTGACAAATCCCAAAGTACACTAAAGAATCCACTGCATCTAACATAAAAGCAATCCTTATAAAATACCCATACCACCACATTATACTACATGCTTTCCTGATGCAATTTTAGGGATGCCACATAGAGGTCAGACAAAGGTCTACATACAAACAGCATGAAAGTAGGAGAGAAACTTTTCCCCAGGAGGCCTGAGACAGATTAATGTGTTTCAAGATCTGAGTTTGATTCTTTTCCAGCTGCAGCAAATGGACCTTTGCCCTGACCCAGATGAATGTTTAAACAATTGAACCAGAACAGAACAGGATGCAACTCTTTCTATATGACTTCTAAAAGAACCAAGTAGCTTTACATTTTGAAAGAAAGGGTACAGGCAAATCTACTTTCAGGTTATAGAATTACAAAGACATAGCTCCCCTATGTCCTAGCACACAAAAATCCCCAGTCAGATTGTTTTCAGACACACTTTAATTTTAGCCAGTTTAAATAACCTCTGAATGCTTTTATTCTGTCAAAGTTTTGAGGCAATCACCCTTACAAAGCTTTGCATAGGACTGAGACACCTTACTGTGCCAGGCATAGCAAAGGAAAGCACCATATGAACAAAGTCATTGTCAGAAGCCGCTTCAGACACAAAATTTACTGACTAGCCAATACTGGCAATAACCCTTAACTACTGAACAACAGAGGAGTGATTGTGACTGATAAGAAACTGAATAAATTATTTATAAGAATTATAAGAAATCTAAGGCAGAATAAGAATTAAGAAGCATACCAACTATTATCTCTACGTAACAATTTAGAAAGGGCTAAGAATCATAGAATCATAGAATAGTTAGGGTTGGAAAGGACCTTAAGATCATCAAGTTCCAACCCCCCTGCTGTGGACACCTTGCTCTAAACCATATTACCCAAGGCCTCGTCCAACCTAGCCTTGAACACTGCCAGGGATGAAGCATTCACAACCTCCCTGGACAACCTATTCCAGTGCCTCACCACCCTAACAGGAAAGAATTTCCTCCTTATATCCAATCTAAACTTCCCCTGTTTAAGTTTTAATCCATTACCCCTTGTCCTACCACTACAGTCCCTAATGAAGAGTCCATCCCTAGCATCCCTATATGCCCCCTTCAGATACTGGAAGGCTGCTATGAGGTCTCCACGCAGCCTTCTCTTCTCCAGGCTGAACAGCCCCAACTTTCTCAGCCGATCCTCATATGGGAGGTGCTCCAGTCCCCTGATCATTCTTGTGGCCCTCCTCTGGACTTGTTCCAGCAGATCCATGTCCTTTTTATGTTGAGGACACCAGAACTGCACAGAATACTCCAAGTGAGGTCTCACGAGAGCAGAATAAAGAGACAGAAATTATCAAAATATCAAGGTATCAAAGGTATCAAAATAGTACAGTCTTTTGAAGCAAACTTTCAAAGTTCACCTTCCGCAGCTTTGTGATTATTATACTTAGGCACTGTTATCAGATACACAACTGCAACTAGTCAAGGAAACAGGAACTTTCACCTCCTTTGGCTCAGTACAGCCTCTCAATACAGATGTGGCAAATTGAGGTTGCAAAAATCTCAGTGAACTAGACTTCACACTTGTTACCTTTGGCTAATTTCTCTCACCTTGTTGCTTTGCAAGCTTTTTTCCATTTCAAGGTCTTTATAACTTCCTTCCCCTTCCACCTTTTACTTTACTATTCTCATTCATGCATGGAATTTCAAGTATATCAGACTTTACACTAGTGTCCCTCTTTATCACGAGTGCTACTAACACTTTCTTTCTAGCATTTTAGTTCACTGTATTCATTTGGAAAACTATGCTTGAAAGTCTCTATGTCTGCAGTATGTAACAGTTATTAAAAAATAAATGAAAATATACTCACATCAGTAACAATGTTAATATGGTAACTACCCTACTTGTATAGGTATACATTAAAAAAAACATGTTTTAATTGATTTTCAGGTTTTAGTGGGCTTGATTTCATTTTCACATAGATTCTGAAAACGTATATATTGTATATATATATATACACAATATAACGTGTATATATATACAATATAACGTTTTCAAAATATATATATACATATATATACAATATAAACATATAAAGTATAAAACATAAAATATATATTGTGTATATATATTGTGTGTATATATATACAATATAAACGTTATATTGTATATATATACAATATATACAATATGTATATATATACATATATATATGTGTGTATATATATATATACACAATACTTTAGAGCAATATGCTCTAAAGTGAAAAGAATACCAACCCAACACAGGTTCCATATGTCTGTTTCTAGGAAAGCTTCAAATTTAAAATGCAGCTACCTATGCAAGAAGCCTGTATGAGTATCTATTGCAGACTATTTGCTTGTCCACATTGCACCTTCACGTTTTCTGAACATGAAGGCATGCTGCATTTTAACATCAGCTAAGCACTGGTTCTTCAGGCTATCAGAACATCAGCTAGCTTAGTGCCACAGCTATCTAAGACAGACCATTACCACCTATGTGCATTTGAAAAAAAAATAAAATCTTATGCTGTTATTCTCACATTGCCAACAAACTCCATTTCAGAACAGTAACAGACCCCAGAAGTTGTGAAACAGTTAATTAAAATGCACCACAGGCTTTATTCTAAAAGTATTTGAAATGTTGGAATTTTTGTATTGCTTCAAATCCAGTAATTTCAGTGACCTTTCTGCCTCACTTGATGTTCATGTATTGCCTTACGAAGTACTGCAAACATCTGGAACATAAATAATGTAGCAACAAGTCTGTAGCAAGAACAACAATCCTTCCCTTCCCCTCAAAAAAAACTGAAGGTTTCAGCATGGTAATGAAAGAACTCTGAAGCAACTCTTTCAGTATGATATGGAATGCACACAGATGATGTGCATCACATACAATACAACCAATCAGAAAACCCGTGATAAGCAGCATTACTACTTTCTCAGCTACCCTCTTTTATTAATGGTAGTGTCACAACATAAACTGAAATAGTTATTTGCACACCATAAAAAAATACAGCCCTTCATAAAGTTTATATTGTGTGGGGAATCACATACTGAACTTGAAAAATCAATATATAATACTTGATATTAAATAATGCAGAGAGGTAAGATACACTCAGCCAAATAAATGCAAATATATTTTGTTCAGCTTAAAGGCAACCATGCAAAGAACAGTTTATTAACTTCCTGTATACATACTTCACAGTTCATGTGAAGGCTGTGAGCAACCAGTTTTCCTTTTGCTGCTGTTCTCTATCTTACAAGCATTCAGTTTCATTAAAGCCAAATGATAAAAGGGATTTTGGATAGCAGCATTCATTAGTGTTGCCTTCGTAGGCGTGGCGACCTGGTTCAGGAACGGCACAGCGACCAATCCCAGGCCGCTCGATCCATCAGCTCACAGACACCAATATGGTGGATGGCAAATGGCGTTTATTATTGAACAACACGGCCTTATATTACTTAGGTTGACAACGTCACTTCCGTCTACTTCTGTTTACATCATAGACTAAATGCTATTGGCTATCAGGAGAGGGGTCCTATGTTTCCGTACAGCGCGACATCTTCCGACCGACAAGCCCTAACTGCCAACACACTAGCAGTTACAGAATAGTGTTACTAAGACAGTCAGCTTAAGACACTCTGTTTCCACATAGGCACATGAAATCTCTGGCAAAAAATAATTTTAAAAGGCAGCTATAAGCTCAGCTATAATAGCAGAATCAATAAAGACTTACTCTTTAAGTATGTTCTTGACAATGTATGAAATTGGCTAACATGGCTGCAACTTGTTCTTCCGGAAAAGTAAAATACAAAGCAAGACTTTGACATTGTTATATATTCAAGAATGCCGCCTTACACCGGGTGGAAAAAAGTTGAAACAATTCTTCCATTATCCTTCAATTCTGAAGTGCAGAAGACCAGAAGTGACTTTCAAGAAAATTCTTGTCTAGATTTCCAACATGAATCCAGCAAAAGCCCATTAAACTGGTTTTAGGGTTTGCTTTTGGGTTTTGGCTTTTTTTTTTTTCCTGACAGCAGGTAAGTGTTGTTTTATTATTTTCCTACTAGAAATGCCAAAGTGTGCTGAAAATGTCCAGGCAATGGTTAGGACAAAACTGTCAGTGTCCTTGGAGAGATAAATTTATAAACAAACTTAACAACATAGGCCAAAATGATGCTCATTCTCTTAAGTGTCTTTATAGAAATCATTCTTTCCTCCCTCAAAAGGTGTATATCCCCTTCTGTCTTTGCCAACAACAGGACTGATGAGCATCTGAATAACCAAGTCCTGCACAGCTACAAGGACTCCTTGACTTGCTCAAGGCCTTTTCCCAAATACCCCATGAGACTGGCTGCAAGTTAAAACATTATGAACTAGAACCCTAGCAACCAAGAGATGAAAAAACCCACATGGTTTTGCTTAGTGGTTTACTGGTTTGCCTTCCGGCAGACGAAAGAAGTTGTCTTCTTTGAGTTTAAGATGTTCTGGTAAATCTAGCTGTCTTTTTGCCTCTTCAATGTCTTCCTGAATTGCTGAAATGAGTGCCTCTGCAAAAGAGCAGTAAGAAAAGCAGTATTTGAAAGCTGGTCTGAATTCTGAACAAACAATAGCAAAAGAAAAAGAGTGTACTATAGAACACCAGCAAGCAATCACAGGCAGGATACATTTATTATTATTATGAAGTTGGAAAGGCACAATCTCTAAAATAACAGGCTTTTATGCTTTTGACATGCATTGCACTTTTCCCTGCTGTAAATACCACTTTTTCCTTGTTGCAAGACATTTTATCAAAAGTCAACAGAATTTCATTGTTTCAGTTTTAACACAGATGCATTTTTAAAATAAACGGGCAGACCAGACCGATGCTTTTACAACAAGCTCATAATTTTCAAGCTACTCTGCAGACATGACACAGTAATTTTTTGTCTGAAATAAATAATTGCTGATAGTCTGGAAGTTACGGCACTTTGCTTTTTTTTTAACATAACCAATGTATTTATTAGGAAAATTAGAAAAAAAAAAAACACCACATTTTACTGAAAAGTCAAAGGTAAAACTTTGAGTTGGAAGGTACCCATAAGGATCATCAAGGCCAACTCCCTGTTCCTTGCAGGACTACCTAAAAATAAACCATATGACTAAGAGCATCATCCAGACACTCCTTGAACTCTGACAGGGCTGGTTCTACAACCACTTCCCTGAGGAACCTGTTGCAGTGACCAGCCTCAGTGAAGAATCTTTTACTAATATCCAGTATGAACTTCCTCTGATGCAGCTTCATTCTGTCTCCTCATATCCTACTGCTCATCACCAGAGAGAGAAGATCAGCACCTCACTTTCCACTGCACTCTTTGGGGCAGTTGTAGACTGCCAGGTCCCCCCCACCTTCTCCTCTCCAAGCTGAAATAGCCAAACAACCTCAGCTGCTCCTTTTAAGTCTGGCCCTCAATTCTTTTCACCACCTTGGTCCCTCCTCTGGACACACTTTAATAATTTGGTGTCCTTCTTATACTGAGGTACTCAAAATTGCACCCAGTACTCAAGGTGAGACCACACCAGGGCATGGCAGAGCGGGACAGTCACCTCCCTCAACCAGCTAGTGATGCTGTGCTTGATGCACCCCAGGGTACAGCTGGCCCTTATGGCTGCCAGGGCACACCTCTGACTCATACTAAACTTGTCACCAACTCAAACTCCCGAATCTCTTTCTGTGGGGCTGCTTTCCACCCTCTTATCCCATAATTTGTGTGCATAACCAGGATTACCCCATTCCAGAGGTGGGATCTAGCACTTGCTCTTGTTAAACTTTATGTCGCTGTTGATAGCCCACCTCTCTATAGTCTATCTAGATAAGACTGTAAGGTGTTTCTACCCTTGAGAAACAGCTACCCCACACAAAACAGCTGATGATGGAAGACAGAACAATGACACAGCGCTCCCAAAATGCAAGAACTTGACAAACTGAATATCAGTTTAAGAGAAAGGCAGTACTGACCTAAAGAAGTGAAATTTTTTTCTGATCGAATATATCCAAGAATAACTATACTAAGAATCTCACCATAAAAGTCACCTTTGAAAGTGTCAATAATGTGTGTTTCCTAAAAGAGAGAAATAATGAAAATTTATTTTCCTTGTTGTAAGGATGTTGAACTAGTACCTCTAATTCTAATTCTCTCCCACACATATCAGAACAACTAAGACACATTAACATGCATAATGTAAGATTAAAAAGCTAGGGCTTGTAATTACATTAGTATGAAGAACTGAACTTTGCATGGCATTTAAGAACATGATATTTACTTCAGGGGTAAGATTTTCAAGGCAGCAAATCACAAATAATAATACTTAGATTTGTCTGACCATTAAGTTGCCAAGTCCAAATGACTGTAATGAATTTGACTGATTTAAAGAGAGGTTTTACAAGTACAAGTAAAGAGAGCTTTTACAAGGAACTGAATGATAAAATTCCAAGAAGAGTGAAGGCACCTATTCTTGAAGCAGGGCTTCATGTCAAGTTAAAACTCCTTCCAAGTACTAGCAATTAAAATAAGTTCTGCAAGACCCAGGAAAAGTACCAGCACCTGACAGCAAGAAAAACATAGATGCCACAGTTCAGGATTTTAACTCTGTGTTACTACCATTTATATTTTGGTCTTGATTCTGTAAATTAAGACACAGCACCCCATGAATGGATTCCACCATATAAGAGAAGAATTACTGGAAAATCACTACAAATTAAGGTGTGCCAGAATTTCATACGTCAAATATGGATGATGGCAGAGAGATTAACAGGTTCCAGCTCATTTTAGGGGTCTTAACCACTAAACTGAATACATCTAAGCTTATGTTTATCTACCTATCAGCTCAATAAGCAACAACAATTTTGGAAATATGAATTTTTATTTCAGAAGTATTGAAGCAATGGTGTGAAGAGATAAATAAAACTTACTTATCTACAGCTGCCTGCTCTATGGCTACTGACAGGTTTGGGGGAATGGGGGTTTTTGTCTCTCCACAATGCACACATTTGAGATGGATAATTCTAACAGAAAATGGAATTTCTAATCTCATTTATGGCTCAAATTGTGCTTATTTTATTCAAAATCTAGTTCATTTATTTTTATCAAAGTACCACACAAAACAAAATTCTTACCACAGATTTCTTAATATTTTTATAGAAAGGATTCCATCCTATGCTCAAAACCATTTTATGCACATCTCCAGTTCCAACACAGGCCCAACCATAGTATACACCAGTAGAGATATCAGATGGAAAGCTTTCGACTACTTGCTCAGAAAAGTTAGCTGCAAAAATTTTAGAAAATGTAAGTAAAGCGTATCACAGAATTTCAAACTCCAACAAGCCAGTATCTATGTCCTATTTACAAGCAAAACATTGGCAACAGTAGCACAACATGCCGCTTAGAAAGCGTAAACAGAAAAAGCACTCATAAAATGTAGTCTCTGCAGTAATACCTGAGTTATGACATTTACTACACATACTATTCCATAGTTATATCCTCTGATACAGTTAAATAGTTCATTCTGTAGTTAAAAATAATAAACTGAAATATGCAGTCTGAATGCACTTCACTGGTAGGACTATTACTCCTTTGGTATGATCACAGAACAGAAAAAAAAACAAGTTTCTTTGCATTGTAAAGTACCATCTTAGCATTACTTACATATTATAAGTTTCTTGAGGCGTTTTTTTTTTTTTTGTAAGTGAAATATGTACAAATAAACAAAGTTATTACTTCAGTCACTTGACAATATTTTTCATGTTGCTTTTTAGGTTATTCATATTTGAGGCTTTCTAAGATTTTCTTAGAAAAATTCAAATCTGAAATAAATTAGTCCTTTTTGACTGAGGGGAATAAATCTAAGCCATTAGCCAAACAACTGTCCTCTTCACACATAGTTAGAGATTGCCACTTAAGGCTTCACGACGATTTTTAAGAATTTACAGTGTATTTCTACCACAGTCCATAAGCAGGAAAAGCTTCCCTAACATATTCCTTGATACTAATAAGCCAAATACAAACAATCAAGAAACCCCCCCCTAAATTCATATTAACAGATGGAGTCACATGTCCCATACCTCAAGATTCCTCACAGGAGGTTTTCTTGGCCTCCTAGGATTTGTGCAAAATGCCCACCGACTCCAGTCTGCCTTTAGAAAAGGCTGATATCCAATCTGAATTACACCTCTATCTGTTTTCAGAAAAGTCAAACCAGGAAAGGCAATGAGAAAACACTTCTCTTTAGGAGAGCTGCATGTGCTCTGCCTTTTAATTTCTGCATCAGCCACTTTACATTTACTTCTTTAACTCCCAGTGCTTGCTCTTTTCCTTGTCCTACTCTGAGGTCCAAAGAGTTTATAAAAACGGACAGTTTTAAACCTACCACATCACACCACCATGCACAGTGCATATGATCACTTTTCAGGATCTTGCAATTCGTATTGATCATTATCGGATAAGGTAACTAAGGCAAACAGAGACGGTTTAACAAAAGGTCGGACACGTGAACAAGACTTGTAGGCAGTATGAACTAAAACAAAAATCACCAAAAAATCTAACACGGAGCAAGCCAAGCCTGTTCACGGAAAGCGCACGCCATGCAAAGGGGCACTGGTGCAGGACAGCGGAGCGCCTCCCGAACTCAGGGATCGCGCTCAGGGACTCAAGGCTAAGCTCCAAACCTCCACCCGGCTGGAGAACCACCAGCCACGGCGCCTCTCGCTCGGGCGGCCTAGGGGTGTCAGGCTGACGAGAGACCCCAGCGCCCGACGCCGGCCTCCCCGGGGGGCCCAGAGCAAGGACCCGGTCCGGGCCCTGGCCGAGGACTTCGACCGTGGGGAGACGTCACCATTGCCCTGACGGGAGAAGCAGCCCCGCGTCGCTCGTGCCCGGGCCCCGCGCCGCCGCTCACCGGTGGGGATGCCCAGCTCCTTGGAGCCCCTGCCGAAGCCCTTCACCACCTTCCCGCGGCAGAAATACGGTAGGTGCCTCATGACGGACAACTCTATCCCCCCGCGCCCCTCTCACCCCTCCGACGCGCTCTGGCCACTACCGAGAGGAGGAGGCGGAGCAATAGGTTGAGCATTCCACCCGCCTCAGCGCACTGACCTCTCTGGGAGGCACCTGGCTCCCGTCAGAAACGGACTCGTTAGCGCACAGCACTGCCCTCGGGCCTGCTCAGTGGGCGGGGGCTGGGAGACCACCTCTCTCGGCGACTGAGCTCTCCTTGGAAGCTAAGCCTGCGCGGTATGGAGCGTGTCAGGTGTTTGAGAGTTTTGCCGACGAGTGTCCTGAGGGGGGTAGGCAGCAGCAGCCTTAGCTGGGTCTGTTCTGACGACGCGGCCCCTTCCCCTGCCAGCAGACTCAACTCGACTCCGCTCTCGGGTAGCGGCGGGGCGCACCCTGCCCACAGCCTTCCCGCGGCACAAGGCAGGGCAGTGGCGGCGCTGGCCCACGGCCCTGGGGGGCTGCGGGACCTCGCTCCGGCGTCCCTCGTACCTGAGAGTCACACCTCGCTCAGTCCCCCGGCTCCTTCAAATAGCGAACGTTTATTCCCCGGTAATCCCATTTTAAACAAGCTCAACTGATGCAGGATGCGTGGACATCTGGTGAAACCTGTGAAGATAGATCTTTTTTAAATGTTTTTATTATTTTGTTATGATGACAAACGATAGTTGCTTGCTAAAGAAAAATAATTTGTACCCTCCCGTGATTTGTCAGCCTGGCACTGCAGGGATTTCCCTCAGGGAAATACACCTGACAGCAACATTTGTCCTGAGCTCACTCTGTATTGGCGAGTAAGGCCCCCTCAATACGTCCTTAATTTCGTGTCTCCAGTCTCTTCTCATTCCGTAGCTGTGCCGCTACACTCCTTTCTATCAGCTTGAACCAGCTTTAAATTGAATTTGCATGTGTAGACGCCCAGATAGCAGACACACGTGCATATTCAGTGTCTGCAACATGGCAGCCAGCCTAAACTGGTCCATTATGTCAATGGTATGTATGCCAAATAAGTCAGGGGGGCGGGGAGAGAAGGGAAGGGGAGTTATTCAGGAATGCTAGTGTACTTACATGTATTCATATAATATCTTGAGTCAAAGTCCTTGAAGTGAATTCCCAATCATTTCCAATTATTCCTATAAGGCACAATTGCCAGCTTTAGCAGTTTGATGTAACTGTTTCTGAAAAGTGCTGTTGGAGTTACTTCTAGTTCTGTTGGCTGGGTATTTTTATAAGAAATGCAGCCTAAGTACTGTTACATGCTCGTATCTAGTTGCAGGTGTAATGGTAATGGTAATCAGTTCATGCTAATGAGAGGGAACTGTCTTGTGAAACTGATTATGTCATACCACAAAATGCAGAATGCCACTGATTAACAGATCTGTGAGCACTAGTTATTTTACAGGACATGCTCAAAATTCATTTAAAATAGGACTCCACCTCATATTTATCCTCTTTTTTCTTTTTTCTCTCATCTTACTTCCCCTAGCATTTTAATTAATTGCTTCAGTTTGGGAAACTTTGACTGACATATAGAATCATTGTTTACATAACTTCAGCTGAACAAAAAGGAACGGTGGTAGCATATATATAAAAGGAGAAAAAGTGAAAGAAAAAGATGTCCCAAATACACCACTGCTACTACATGTATTCTGTTCTGCTGTCTGACAGCATGAAGAGACTTGTAAAAAGTTTTAATTACATTTAGTAATGGAAGTATATTGGATATTAAACTAGTTACCTAGTTAATGACAGGCAATAATAATAGGCAGTGTGACCACTCGCCCCGGAATTTTTAGTTTATTTTGGCTTGGGGGGGGGGAAATAAAAAATAAAAAAGCAGATACGTTTATATTCATAATATGTTCTTCTGTTATAATGAATTATGCTTTTGGTTGTAATTTGTATGTAAGAAGATTTGTACTTCCGTTCTTTTTTAACGAATACTTGTGCAATAATTATGTTCTTGTGGCATCCACAAGATGGCACTCGATCTCTTCTTCAATTTCTCCAGGTCTGGGCACAGGTTTTGGGCGCAGGATTTAAAATTTTCACTAACAGAACAGATCTTGATGAACAGGAAGTCAGATAAATATTTGCTTTAAAACTACATGGTTAGTAGTTTCACAGAAGTCTCAATGGCCGCTTACATCGCATTCTGTCAAATAGTTGTTAAATCCCTTTCCTCAGTCTTGGTGGGTTGCTGTAACCCATGGTCAAAATTACTCATCCTTGATACTGGACATGTTTTTCTTTTGTAATGAATTATACATAATTCAGCTTGGAGGGACCATTTTAGAGAAGTAGAATTTAATTACCTGTATTCAAATTTAGTAGACATGTTTTTTCAAAAAATACAGTTGAATTTTAGTCACAAGCATATTTGCCAAGAAAAGCAGTTTACCAAACTGCTCATGCCTGCAGTTAGAAAGCTCAGGCATTGTACCACAGAGCTGGAAAAGAATTTCTGCTCTGTGCTGATGCTACATTTTTTGCATCTATTTTTGTGAGTGACAAATCCTCAAGTTTTTTTTTCTATTGTACATAATAGTCATACAAACCTAAAGAAAATAGAGCAGGTGTAGTATGTCATCTGTGTAGGCTTTCTTTTGTCTGGGAATAGCCTGCATTGGCTCTCACATCTGTATCCTTTATAGAAAACTGAACAGGCCTTGTTAATTTTCAAGCTGCAAGGGAGAAAGGTTTTCTACCTATGCTATAGCATCAGAAAGATGAAAATGGTGTCCCTAGTGACTCGCAGGGACAAGGTAGCAAAGAAAATGGCTGCAATGTTTATTCTTGCTTGTTCATTGTTATACATTAAGCTCATTCTCTTCCTGCCTTCCCTGGGCTGTACTTTGATATCACAGGGAGGCTTTAAGTGACAGCCATTACAGCCTTGTTCCCACACTAAGCAATGACTGAGCAAAGATTCTGGTGAAAACTTTTTCACTGTTAAAAGGAGCCAGGGGCTTATAATACTCCTTCCATCACCAATATGTGATGCTGTCTACCAGGCACATGCAGGGCATGTCTGCATTTCTTACAGTGCTATCAGATTTAGCTTAATATTTAGGAAGAAATTCTTACTGTGAGGGTGGTGAATCACTGGCATAGGTTGCCGAGAGAAGCTGTGAATGCCCCATCCCTGGCGGTGTTCAAGGCCAGGTTAGACAGGAATTTGAGCAACCTGAGCTGCTGGAAAGTGAGGGTCCATGGCAGGGGTATTCTAACTAGATGATCTTTAAGGTCCCTTTCAATCCAAACCATTCTGTGATTCTGCACTTAATTTCCTTGGCCAAATAGAGTTCTGTCAGGGGTTTGTTTAGCTTTCCCTGCCTGCTCTGATTACTTCTGTATATTCTTCCTAGGCTACCTGTCCTTGTTTCAACCTCCTTTTTATGCTGGAGTTTGTCCAGGAGCTCCTTGCTCATCCACACCATCCTCTTGGTGTTCCTCCCTGATTTCCTCTTTGTCAGGATGCACTTCTCCTGAGCTGGGAGATGATCCTTCAATACTGACCAGCTTTCTTGGGACCCTCTTCCCTCCAAGGCTTTATCGCATGGTACTCTACCAAGTAGATCACACAAGAGGCCGAAGTCCACTCTCCTGAAGTCCAGGGTAGTGAGCTTGTTGTGCACACTTCTTACTGTCCTAAGGATCTCAAACTCCACCATTTCATGATCACTGCAGCCAAGGTTGACCCCAGGCTTCACATTGCCCACCAGCCCCTCCCTGTTGGTGAGTACAAAGTCCAGCATATGCCCTTCCTCTTTGGTTCCTGTATCACCTGGAGAAAGAATTTATCATCAGTGCATTTCGGGAACCTCCTGCTGTGTCATCCCCCCAACAGATACCAGCATGGTTGAAGTCAGGGCTTGTGACTGTGAGGCTGCATCTCTCTCTAGAGGGCCTCATCCACTTGGTCTTCCTGGTTTGGGTGGCCTGCAGCAGACCCCCTGTAACATCCCCTGTCCCCTCTCTCCCTTTAATCTGGGAGCTCTGGGTCAGCTCCCCATGCATCCCCAGGCAGGGCTCTGCACACTCCAGATGGTCATTGACATAGAGGGTGACCCCCTGCTTCTCATATCGCCAGTCTGTCTTTCCTGAAGAGCTGTGTCCTTCCATTCCAACACTCCAGTCATAGGAGGTGTCCCACCACATCTCTGTGATTCCAATGAAGTCACAGCCCTACAGGCATGCGCACACCACCTATGCGCACAGCTCCTCTTGCTTGTTCCCCATGCTACATGCATTGGCATAGAGGCATTTCAGTTGGGCCCCTGATGATGTTGGGTTACTGGCTGGAGTGGTTGGAAGTCCTCTGTGCTGCTCATCAAGTGCTCCATTGCTGACATGTGACCTCTCAAGATCAAGAAGACCAACCCATTTTTCATTTAGGGCAGTACTGGAAAATACCAGTCCACATATGTTACTCAAAGTTAACAGTATATCACACCTCCTCCAACAACAGTGCTTGAAAAATCATGTGCTGAGATCCCATATTTCTGTAGTTTCTTTGGAATAACATATAGTGTACTTTTATGAAGGTTGTGCAGAAAGACTGCCCTGCTCAGAGATAAATTTTGTAAAAAATAGATGGCCTGCTGAAAAACGTTCTGCTGATCGTAGTAACCCTGTTATAAAAAAAGAAAACCACTAAAATAATGTACAGCAAAAATATCACTGAATGTAAATTCAGAAATAACAGACATATTCTCAGTTTCACAGAAAGTTGACAAAGTTGTACCATATCACAGAAAAGAGATGTGGAGAATTCTGAGCAGATGTTGAAAGCTTAATGACAAAGGAGAAAAGACGAGAATCTAACGCTGTGAGTGTTAATAATTGAAGCAGCTTCAGCTCTGTAGAACTACACTGGCATTAATTTGTTTGGATATGCTGGAAAAAGAACTGGTGACACTGTTGCAGAAATGATTAGAATACAATTTAGATCAGGTCAGAACAAAAGCATTTTATTGCTATTTCTGTAGGAGAGAATACAGA